CCCCCCATTGTAATTTATTTTTTTTTTTTTTTTTTTTTTTTATTTTTTTTTTTTTTCATGTTTATTTATTTTTATTTATTTGTTTTATTTATTTTTATTTATTTTTGTTTCTCTTTTTTCTTTTTCTTTTTTTTTTGTCTCTTTTTTTGTTTTTTTTTTTTCGTTTCTCTTTCTGTCTTTTGTTTTTTTGTCTCTGTCACTGTCTCTCTTTTGTTTTATTTTATTTTATTTTATTTTATTTTATTTTATTTTATTTTATTCTTTTATCTTCATGCTCCTATCTCTGTTGTTGTTTGTCTTTCTGTCTGTCTCTATCTCCATCTATATATTTGTCTCTTTCTGTCTCTGTATCTATTTCTTTTTTTTTTATTTATTTTCTCCCCTCATTTTATTTGTTTTTTTTTTTTATATATTTTTGTCTGTCTCTGTTTTTCTTTCTCCGCGTTTATGTTTGTCTCTGTATTTGTTTGTATTTATTTTTGTATATTTATTTATTTTTTCTTGTTTTTATTTCTGTTTGTTTGTCTTTTCTTTTTGTCTTTGTTTATATTTATTTGTGTGTCTTCATGTTTTTTATTTTTATTTTTATTTTTTATATATTATATTCTATCTATCTATCTAAACATACTTATATACATATCTTTATCTTACTATCTCTTTCTCTATCTCTGCTTCTGTTCTCTCTCTCTCTCCTTTCTCTATCTCTCTAATTCCTAGGGTTTAGGGTCTAGGGTTTAGGGTTTAGGGTTTAGGGTTTGTATGCAGATACACCACAGGTGGGCCCCGTACCCCGTGGGGTGTATGTACAGGGGCCTCGCGTTTACAGTAGAACCAGTGGTCTGCCCCCAACAAACAGAATTTAAAATAAACAAAGACCAGTGGACCGTTCAGGCCACAAACAAACTACCGTATGTTGTTGCTGCTCCTGCTGCTGCTGCTGCTGCTGCTGCTGCTGTTGCTGCTGGTCATAACGCGGCAGCTGGTGCTGCTGCTGCTGCTGCTGCTGCTGCTGCTGCTGCTGGTGGTAGCCATAACGAGCGGCAGCTGGTGCTGCTGCTAGGCCTGTTGCTGCTGCTGCTGCTGGGCCTGCTGCTTTTGCAGCTGCTGCTAAGTGTATTGCTGCACCTGCTGCTGCACCTGCTGCTGCTGCGCATGACGTTGCTGCTGCACGCTCTGGCGTTGTTGCAGCAGCAGCTGCTGCTGCTGCTGTTGGAGTACCTGCTGCTGTTGACCCTGTGATTCCTGCTGCCCCTGCTGTGGCCCTCACTGTGCTGCTGCTGCTGCTGTTGCTGCTGCTGCTGCTGCTGCTGTTGCTGCTGCTGCAGCTCCGCGCAGTTTGAAGAAACCATCCTCATTGGGCCAGACGGGCCAGAGGTACTAACGAGGCCCTGAGGGGGCCCCCCGGGGGGCCCCCGTCAGCAGCAGTTACCGGGGGGGGGGCCCTGGGGGCCCCCCACTCTGTTCTGCTGCTCTCCCCTTTCCTCACGTCATAAAAGATACCTGTTGCTTGGGGGCCCCTGGGGGGCCCCCGCGGTTAAAACGGATGCGCTGAGAGGCCCCTAGGGGGCCCCCAGGGGGCCCCTACGGGGCGCCTAGAAGGGTACCAGTAGGGGGGCCCCCTGGGGGGGCCCCCTAGGGTTCCCCCGAGTGGTCACCAGTGGGGGCCCCCTGAAAGGGCACCAGTAGGGGGCCCCCAAGGGGGCCCCCCTCATAGGTAGAGGCAGAATACCTCTCGCTGCGCTCACAAACCCCCGTACACTGAGGGGCCCTGACATGAACGGGGGGCCCCTATGGGGGCCCCCCCTTTTTAAAGGGTACTAGATTTTGTAGGGGGCCCCCAGGGGGGCCCCCATTTCTATTTTATATGTCAAGTAGATAAGAGGGTACAGAGTGTACGCCTGCCCCCGTGATGTGGGTACTGGTGGGTACAGCAGACCATAGGGGCCCCCATTGAGGGTGTAATGAATGTTCAGGTGGGCCCCCTTGGGGGCCCCCCTGGGGGCCCCCAAGGGGGCCCCCCTGGGGGCCCCCCCCTTTTATTTTATAGGTCGAATAGAGGGGAGGGTACAGAACGTCTGCCGCCCCGTGTGATGTGGGTACTGGTGGGTACAGCTGGGGCCTCGCGGCGTCCCTCTGAGGGGGGCCCCCTATAGGGGTGGGCCCTGTCTGTGGGGGCCCCCCTACGTTTGCGGGGGCCCCTTTGCCGCTGCTTTGAGGGGGGCCCCCCAGAAGAGGGTACTGTGATGGGTACTGAAAGGGGACAAACCTGGCAGAGGGCCCCCGCATCGATCTCTGGTAGACAGATGGCTGTATTGCTGCTGAATGTATGCATGCAGCAGCTAGCGAACTCTTCCCTGCTGCTGCTGCTGCTGCTGCTGCTGCTGCTGCTGTCGTTGCTGCTGCTGCTCCTGCTGCTGCTGCTGCTGCTGCTGGCGTTGTGTTGGGTTGGGCTTGGGGGGCCCCCCTTGTCCCTCTCTTCTTCCTTCTGCTGCAGCCAACGCAGCACAGCTCGCCCCAGCCTGAGGTCAGCAGCAGTGGCATCGCAGAGGGGCCCCAAGAAGGGGGGCCCCTCTCCATGCAGTCCGTGTAGGGGCCCCTGGTTATATTCGTTCATAGTACCCACTGTTGTTCGGTGGGCCCCTTGGGGGCCCCCCAGGGTCCCCAGCAGGGCCCCCCCCTGGGGGCCCCCGCCGCCCGTTGTGGGTGAAGTAGGCGTGGGTGTTGGGGGCCCCCTATGGTGCAGTGCTGCTGCGCCTAGAAAGCCAGAGAAGGAGAGACAGAAGGCCCCCACCAGCAGAGCTGTATGCTCGTAAGCATTCATATTCAGTTTGCTGCTGGCCACGCACACAGACAAAGCAGAGGCCCCAGCAGAAGTTAAACCCAAAGGGGTAGGCCGCAGCAGGCTGTCGACCTCACACAGGGCCCCCAACGAACCCACCCGGGGGCCCCTACGCAGCCCACGACGACACAAACCACTGG